GACTCTCCCATCCCTCTCCCTCTCTCAAATGTTCTCCCTCATTTTCTCCCAAATTTTCTCTCTCCATTTTTCTCTCTCTCTCTTTGCCCTCTCTCTCTCTCGTTCTTTCTTTCCCTCAACCCCCCTCTCCACTCTCCCTGTGATCTGAGACAAGGCATCTGCCACGTCTTGATTCTGCTCAAGAGAGCCACACAGAAAGAGAGAGAGAGAGAGAGAGAGAGAGAGAACAGGGCTGTGTTCCTTCACACCACTCAGGGGATGGAGTAGCATGCTGAGCTGCTTGTACAGCCGCTGTTCCTGTCTCTCCTCCACATATCATCCACCCACAGCGCTCACTGGCCCAGGGCATATGGCACTTAGGATGGGTTATGTGACGTGGCGGAGGGGGGTATGGTTATTTTGATGAATACCATAAGATCAGAGAAACTCTTGGCATCTCTGAAAGTATTTGAAACACTGTAAATTAGTTAGGAATGACCTTGAACTAGACTTGACTGAAGAGGAGAGGCGATAAGACTATAGCATGTCCTAGCCTGTTATAAGAATGGCCATTATTGTCTATGTGTGTGTTAGGACTCACCTCCTCGCTGTATTTGGAGACATAGGAGTAGATCTCGTTGAGAGCACTGAGCATGTTAAATTCTGTGGAGTGGAGCCTGGCCTGCTCTGCCAGATAGGCATTCATGTCCTGGTCACTGATGGCTGGCAGACGGTTAATGTCCGCGTAGTACCTGGAGGCACACACAGGGGGCGGCACTCAGTTTCAACATGCAGAGAGGCGAAACAATCTACACCAGAATTCTTTGCTGGAAAGTTGAGCCTCATTCTTCTACATATTCCTCACATTTTACGAGTACATCACAGGAGGCTGCTGAGGGGAGGACGGCTCATAATAATGGCGGGAAAGGAGCGAATGGAATGGCATCAAACACATGGAAACCACGTATTTGATGCCATTCCACTTATTGCGCTCCAACCCTTACCACGATCCTCCCCAATTAAGGTGCCACCAACCTCCTGTGGAGTACATATATAATACTTATTATAAACTGGGTGGTTCGAGCCCTGAATGCTGATTGATTGACAGCCGTGGTATATCAGAACGTATACCACGGGTATGACAAAACATTTATTTTTTAATTACGTTGGTAACCAGTTTATAATAGCAATAAGGCACCTCAGGGGTTTGTGATATATGCACGCCGTGTTACGTCGTGCGTAAGACCAGGCCTTAGCTGTGGTATATTGGCCATATACCACACCGCCTCATGCCTTATTGCTTAAACATACTGCAAGTGTATCCAGGACTAAAATTGTTCATGAGGGGTAAGAAAACTAGGAAATAGAATTGTATGTGTATATTTTGTCTCACTCTTACCTTTCTACCCAGCTCTTGTAGTTGGGGATGTCTTTAGCGTAGAGCAGCTTGTTGGAGGGGGAGTCCTTGCCCAGGCGGTGCTCTGATGTAGAGCAGGAGTCCATGAAGGTCTGGGCCACCACAGACAGACAGGCGTCTGTGATGCTGCTCTTATGGATGTCAAACACAAACTGGGGGTTCTTGATCACGTTCACCCAGAACCGCAGCGGGAGGCTGAGAGAGAGGGCACAGAAATTAGTCAGTCAGAATCCCCTCTCAGTATTTTTCTTCACTCTCTGGGTCATGAAAGCACTGAGTCAGAATCCACTAACTATCAGTACTGTATTTCTCTCCTCTTTCTGGGTCACTAAAGTGCTGGCTTTAGGGAGGAGCTTGAGGCTCTTAACTCCAGACAGGTAGAATCCAGTAATGTTATATTTTGGAAAGTTTCTTACAGATGACTCAGTGTATCATCCTCTGATTGATACACATCACATCATACATTATACAGCCTATTGATGCATCCTATCATTCCTATTCTACATCCTCCAGGTTCCTCACCAGTTGCTCTTCCATGTGTGGCGGACATCTTGGTCGTGGATGCCGTGTTTGTCCGCCTGCTCGTCCAGGAAGTCAAACATGTATTTGATGGCGAGGGGCAGGGCGCTACCCCGGTGGACGGTACTGAACAACGTCTCAAACAGGTCATCCACAAACTTCTGCAGTGTACCCTGGGTAAAAACAATGGACACACCAGGTCAGACATACATAAACTCACTAAACAACAACTGATTTCCTAAATGAATAGGCAATAACCTAAGCAGATGAAAGTCTGTCACTAACCATGGGATCCAAAATACAGGACCGTACCACCAGTTATGTAAACCAAAACCACTGTAATGTATATATATATACTGTAGTATAATTGAAATATATACTGTAGTATAATTGAAATATGGAGGGACAACGCTTGGTACATAAAGAAATATGTAAGCTGGGTGTTACCTTGGTGGCCAGCAGCCTGGTCAGGTATATCTCGGAGACCATCTTGCTGCCACGGTCTCCCTCCTTCTGGTCTCCATGCTCGTGGTTCTTGACCAGGTGCCACACTTTGACCCCACTCTCAAGGTCAGGGGTTATCATAGGGGCACGGGATCGCAGACTGTCTGGACTACCTGTGTACCGGAAGGACGAATCTAGACAGAGAGAGAGAGAGAGAGGGAAAGAGGGAAGGAGAGAGAGATGGAGGGAGAGAGATAGAGAAGGGGAGAGATAAATTAGACACTTAAATGAGCCACTATGTTCCTAGTTCTGTGCTCTATTCCCTTGTCCTGTTCAGTAACACGCATACACACACGCATATTCCCCCACCACATACACACTGAACCTCCTCCTGTCTAATTTGCCCTTCTCCTCTGTAGTCTCATTACAAAGCTTAAAACTCCTGGTCCCTTGTTCCTCTTTAACCTTTCCGTAAAGTAAATTGCAGCGCTGGATCATTTCATATTAGCTCGGCGGAGATGTGATGAAGGGAATAAATCCTTTAGGTCTCTATCTGTCTGTCTGTCCGTCCGTCCATGTCAATACGTGTCTGTTGGCCCTCTGGATTGCAGGAGCAGCTCCCTCTCACTAGTTTAAACAGATGAAAGGAGCCATGCACCTCTAATATTTCATTAAGTCCAGAGAGTGGAGGAGTGGCAGCTGCCAGCACAGTGCCCCCCCTCTCTCTCTTTCATATCTCTCTCTCCCCCCACCATCTCTCTCTCTCATATAATCTCTCTCTCTTCCCCTTTCTCTCTCCCCTTCATATTATCCCTCTCTCTGAATAGAGGTGTGAGAGAGAGAGATCCACATCTATGTTTATTTATTTTCCCTTTTGTACTTTAACTATTTGCACATCGTTACCACACTGTACATAGCCATAATATGACATTTGAAATGTCTCTATTCCTTTGAAACTTTTTCGAGTGTAATGTTTACTGTTAATTTTTTATTGTTTATTTCACCTTTGTTTATTATCTATTTCACTTGCTTTGGCAATATAAACATATGTATTCCATGCCAATAAAGCCCTTTGAATTGAATTGGGAGAGAGAGAGAGAGAGAGAAAGAGAGCGAGAGAGAGACGTGGCTCTCCTGGGTTCCTCTTAAAAGGAATCATAATTGTCTCTTTCCTGCTGTCGCCATGTTGAAAGAGTCTTAATCAATGCATCAAAAGATCTCTAAAATGTAAAGCACTACAGCCATCCTCTCTTCCCTTCCCGTCTCCTTTCCCTCATTCCTTTGACACTAAGGAATGGCACTTTCCCTCTTCTCCTCCTCTCTTCCTCTCCAGTGTTCTTAATTAGCAGTTCTTTCCTCCCCAGTGGCGGTGTGTGTGTGTGTGTGTGTCTGACTGAGTGTGTGAGAGGTCTTGAGGGGTTCTAGATCATTGTCAGATCCCTCTCACCTGTCTTCAAAGGGCAGTGTGGGGCAACAAAGCCCCAGAGCTCTACAGCGACTTACAGCTCTATGTGGAATTTTCTAAAGACCAGCAGCAGCGAGAAGGGTCTCTAGGGTGGCCACTGGGGACCTTTGAGTCTGGTGGGGGGAGGGTGTGTCTGTCAGCCCCTGTGTGTGTCTCTCTCTCTGTGTGTGAGAGTGGGGTGGATTGAGGTCTCAAATCCCATTTTAAGCCACTGGCAGGTCCCTGCCCCTCTCTCTCTCTCTACTCCTTCCTCTCCAGGAGGGAAGATGACTACCTTCCTCCCAACTTCAGCTCAGTCACCACTGCAACAGGCTTCACGCTCCCGGAGGTGGGTGTGAGGGTAGCAGGGGTGTGAGTGTGTGTGTTTGTGTGTGTGAGGTAGGGTGTGAGGCATCAGGGGGGAGTGTGTAGCAGGTTATTCAGGGCCGGGAGGGCGCTGGAACGGTAAATTGAGGCAAGATGCTAAATGCTGAATGTTAAATTGATATGAATCAATCAGCTGGGTGTCGGGGCACATCTGTGCCCGCTGTGCCAGGCTGTGATTGATGGGGGACCGGGCTGGAGCCAGAGGAGGAGAGGCTGTTTTTGATGCAGCATCGTACAAAACACACACATGCACAAAACAAACACACAGGGATGCAGACACACACATACACACACTTTGGTCAAATATTGACCAAGCTCTTTGTAATAAAACAGATTTAAGCAGTATGCTGTTCAGGATGGAATACTGTATAATACTATATGAATTACGAGCCACTGAACCACTGTATAATACTGTATGCTTTACCAGCCACTGAACCAAACTGAGACACCTAACATAATGTGTTTTAGTTTACTTTAGATCATTTAGGTTGGCCATTAATCTTCAGATCCTCTGTTTCAGAAATTACAGTGTAATACTTATCTACTACATTAGAGTATAATACTACTTTGTTGGTTATGTAGTTATTACTGCTGTATCTCACACTCTCTCTACAGTACATTCATTTTTTTTCTTTTTTTGGGGGGGTAGATCAGCTTAATATTGCAGATAGATTGTAACTTCTATCAATGTAATTGTCTGCATCACTTCCAATCCCACATGTTTTTTTATATATATACTCCCCTTTATTACTTTTCAACCCCACCATCCTTTCCCTACTTGGGGTAAATTAGTGAACAACAATGCGCAGGCCTCTACTTCCAGGCTATACTTACTATCTACACCTTATGGACACAGTCAATTTTACAATAATTATATATATATATTTTTTTTTTTTTTTTGCTCCTGAACTTCTTCTACTCTCAACCTCTCCAATCATTTTCATGATGTCCATCCGAATGGCTTCTATATGCAATATCTTTCTTTCCCAAAAGCTCCCAACACACAACCTATATACTTATTATGGACACAGTATGCTTACATTATTAGTTATCTTGTTATTATTTGTTGTTATTTGTTATTAGTCCCATCCTTCAACTCCATTCTACAGTACATTCTTAATGCGGCTGTGTTTATGAGGAGTTGGTAATGCTCTCTCTGACATTGTAAACGTCACCATCTTTATGAATTAGTAATAGTCCTATAGGACTTTTATTGCACATTCCACATTACACATAAACCATCCTCATTGTTTGTCTGAGACTGTCCAGGGCTAATTTGCAATATACTGGTGGTTTTGTGATTGGTAATGAGGACTTAGTAAATAGTGGAAGGAGAGGGATGATGGTGTTTCTGGCCCAATTGGTCATGTCTCCAGGTGACAGAAAACAACCTATGGGGGTTCTCATCTAATCCCAGCCCTGATAATTGGCCAACCGTGTTCCGTTTTCACTTTCTATTGGTGTGAAGTATCATTCACAGTGAATAATTAGCCAATCACACACTGCCGTTGGGGTTGGGCATGGAACCAGATGGGATGCCCTGTGGCTCACCCCTGTGACTGTCACCAGTGTGTGTGTGTGTGTGTGTGTGTGTGTCGGACCATTACACCCTGGCTCCAGGCTCAGTATGGCATCCTCATTATTATACTTGATGGTAAAAACAAACACCTCTCTCCATGTCTCCCATCGGCCCTCTCTACTCTCCCCCACTCTTTCTCTCCCCCTCTATTCCTCTCCATCCCTCTACCACCCCTGCAGTTTCTGGGCTGTGAGGTAAACTGCAGAAAACACTGTCGGGAGGAGAGAGTACGGTAAACAATGCCTCCGCAGCAAAGCATAGACGCTCCAAACAGAGCTGGTCCTAGCTAGGAGGGTTTTATTTTTGCTCACATTGTGGCTCTGGACAAAAGAGTCTGCTAAAATGTCTACAAATTGATCTAAAGTCTAATGTGTATATCAGGTCTGCTCACACCCATAGGCTTACACACTGAACACTTTTATCTCAGACTTCCTCTTCCTATGTTAATATTTATGTTGATGTTGTTTGTTTGAAATGGTCCCATGGTTTGAGGAGCTAAGTACAGTACTTACCATAGAGATATATGTATAATGTTCTATGTAATTCTATGGTACTCACCATATCTGCTGATGGAGGTCCGGGAGATGCTGGCTGATGGGGGGATGTTGTAGGAAGACGTCTGTTTGGGCACCAGAGCCACCACACAGCGGTCAGACACCTGCAACAACACAACAGAGAAAATGTTGATAAGAGAACATGTTCAATCACCTACAGGCGTACTGCTCACAGATAACATGTTGTACGTATGCAGTACACATTGATCTGCAAGGCTGGTTTATCACACCCCGCCTCTTTCCAAGATATACGAACACATCCTCACACACACGCCATGACACAACATCTCCTTCCTCTCCTTCTCCATTAATCCCTCCCTCCCTCCCTCCCTGTCCTCTGTCACATTCTCTCCATTTAGCTTCCTCTCATCTCTAAAGCCCTGTGGTCTCTCTCTGAAGAGCATCTCTCTGTAAGAAACGACTCAAATGCCTCTGTGATGACTGTACTTGCGATTATCCGCATCATCATTCCCATCACTTCCCAGCCATTAGGGAAAAAAGGAGAGGAGAGGACAGAGGGAAGGCGGGAGTGGGTAGAAAGCTGGAGCTAAAGCACGGCGGAGTGAGGGCTTCCCACTGGCATGTCTAGCGAACAACCTTCTCCGCCTCACTGTCATCACAGCAGCGGTGGCGTCACTTCCTCTAAGCAGTTCAGAGGGGAGGGGACGAGGACGGGGTGAGGGATTGTACAAAAAAGGAAGGAAAATGGATGATAAGAAAGAGAGAGAGAGCAATTGAGAGTGACAGAGAAGAATGGCACAGTGGAAGAGTCAGCCCTCCAATCCAGCTCTATTGTCTACAGTATTCTTACAAAGGTTTCTTTGGTGTGTCTGATCTCTCCCATTGATCTCAACTACCCTGAGGTATGGGAGGAGGATGGATCTAGCTCTACTCCAGAGGAGAATCCTTTCAACCTGGGCTCTCTCCACATGAAATAGTCCTCCTTATAGGACACCTTTACCCTTCTGTACCTGCCAGGACCACTCTGACAACCTCTCTGTCTTTGTCTATGGACGAGACACTGCTGACTCTGTCCACAGTCTCAGCAAGCAACAGCCATAAAAGTTAGTGTTCTAAACCATGCCACTTTCTACAGTAATTTGCTGTACATTTCATTGCTAATCACAGCTGTGAGGGTGTGTTTGTGTGCACTCTTTCAATCTGGATAAACAAAATA